ACTGCGCATGCGCCTCGCGGGGGCCGCCAGCGTCGATCAGGTGCACCGCCGCGCGTATTTGTTAACGACATTGCATAATTAGTCGGCGGCCAAGATATCGCCTGGGCCGGCTGCCGCGGCCGTGACGCAGGTGCTCGGTCGGCGTGGCCGCGGCCGACGCTGCGCCTGCGCCGACCGACGGGGCGGAGCCAACGCGTCGGCCGGTGCTGCAAGTGGCCCGGCCGGCGGCAGTTGAGCGGTGCTGTCTCCCCGGCGCGTGCTCGACGTGTCGTCGTCTTCCCTCAGCCCCTGCCCGCCTCGCCAGCACCCAGGCCTACCTATCGTCCGCGCAGGTGAGTGCTGACCCGGCTCGACACAGCCACCCCGGCTCGGCGGCGGCCGTCGGCGGCCTGCGCGGCGGCGGTCCGGCCGGGCGGCGCGTGCGGTGACGGGCGTCTCTGGCCCGGCGGCCGGCGCCGCGCCTCGACGCGGCCCGACGCCAGAGGCCTGCCACTGACTATGGCCACGCGCAGCCGGGCCCGCAGCGGCGGTGCCTGCAGCCAGAGGTGCGTGGCAGTGGCAGGCACCGGCTCACTCGCAGATGGGGGCGGTGAATGGAGGCGTCTCCGCTGCGCAACTGGGCCCTCCAAGGATCATCGAATAGATCTCATGGGTATTGTACCAGTGGCTGGGATATGCAAACGAATATTGCTGACGGTGAAGAATGTGAGCCGGCGGGCCGACCAGCCACTGCGAGCTGGGCCGAATTATCGCTCGGTGCGCTCACCTCCCGTCGGTCCCGTGGGCCGCTAGCAGGTCCGTGTACCGCCGACCGGTCTCTTGCGCCACCGGACGGTCCTACGCGCCGCTGGCCGGCCACGTGCCCTGCTGGCCGGCCCCGTGTGCCGCCAGACGGTCTCACGCGCCGCTGTCCCTGTGCGCCGCTGGCCGGCCCCTTGCGCCGCTGGCCGGCCCCACGCGCCGCTGGCTGGTCCCGCGCGGCGCCGGCTGGTCCCGTGCACCGCTGGTCGGCCCGACGCGCCGCTGGCTGGTCCCGCGCGCCGCCGGCCGACCCCGTACGCCGCTGGCTGGTCCCCGCGCGCCGCCGGCCGGCCCCGCGCGCCGCTGGCTGGTCCCGCGCGCCGCTGGCCGGTCCCGCACGCCGCTGGCTGGTCACGTGCGCCGCTGGCTGACCCCGTGCGCCGCTGGCTGGTCCTGCGCGCCGCTGGCTGGTCCCGTGCGCCGCTGGCCGGCGCCGTGCGCCGCTGGCTGCGTGTCACCTGTCGCCGGAGAGGCGCGGGCCAGAAATAGCCGGCGGCCGGATGACTGTCACCGGCCGGGCTACGGCGCCGCGGGCCGAGGAGCGCCGGCTCTGGCACCGGCCGCCGGCTCACCGCACTCCCGAACAGTCGCCCCCTCACTTCCCATCCCTCCCTCCACCCTTTCCTGTCATCGGTCCCGTTTCACCCTGGCCGGCGTCCACCTCGCAGGTGACGGACATCGCGCCTCAGCAGTGCTTCCCCCATTTCCACGTCCTCCGGTGCGTCGACCTGCCTGTCAAAATGGCCTGCAGAGGCTGATGGATGACCCGGTCACCCCGCTGAACTTTGCCCCTTGAGGAACCCAGTGTCGCTTCGCAACACCTGAACTGAGACGGCAAATCATGCTGTGGTGTCCATAGGAATGTAGCCTAGAAAAGTTGCTGAGTCGATGCCCCTCCTACCCTGGTGCCGGAACGCTCCCGAGAACTCACGTGGCCGTGCGGTATTACCCTGCCCGTGCGCTAGTGTCCCTATGTAGCCGTGCGTAAGCGCTGGTGTCTGGCTGTACTCCTGGTCGCATTGTGTTGACAGCTTCTTCTTCGGCCCCTGTCTGGGACGCACTGTAACTGACCCGTCTTGTTTCACCCGCAGATTGACCCGTGACCTGTGACATGATGGCCTCCATAGATTTAAAATCACCCCTGCCCACTGATGGCCCCTCTGTTACCCTCACCATTCGCCTGCTGATGCAGGGCAAGGTAGGTCAACCTGGCATGGCTTGCAGCGCTCACTAATTTTCTTTCGTTTCGCCTACTACTTTTTGTCTTTTCCTTTGTCTCCATTTTGCTTCCAGTTCTTCTCTGTTCGCATGTCTCTTTTTGTTTTAGATTCCTCTCTCTGTCAATCTCTACGCTCCTCTAAACTGGCATTCGTTTTTTTATCGCCTCGCCCGCGTTTTTTTTTTGTTCTTATTCCTTTGACGTACACCTACCTTCTTTTCAGTACAAAACCTAGCGTGTTGCTGCGTAGCTTTTGTCCTGCTGTTTGACCTAAAAGAAACAGTTAATTTTGTTTGATTAGTTGATGACAAATTTCGGCTTTAATTTATTTCACCTTTGAAGCTCACGCTATGCATGCCGTTATCATTCCTATTGCACTTCTTGTGGTGTGTACTTTGTAGGCATTCCAGTAGCGCATCGTTCAATTCATCATTTTCTATTTTCTTTTGAGATCTGGCTATTGACTCGGCCTCCAGCTCACTTCCATTCCATCTGAGTCATACACTCTTCTGCTTCCTTATTGCTTCCTCCTTTTCCCTCTCCCTCTCTCTCCCTCTCTCTCTCTCTCTCTCTCTCTCTCTCTCTCTCTATCTCTCTCTGTCTCTTTCACTTTCCCTCTCTCCCCCCTCGCTCTATCTCTATCTCTATCTCCATCTCGCTCGCTCACCCTCGTTCTGCAGGCGCACCGGCCTGCGCCTCGGTCGCCGCAGTGTTTGTTTTCTCGTCGCAGTGGTGTGTACGTCGCTGGTGATGCCTGTCCGACGGCGGCTCCTGACCCGCAGCGGCACTAATTTAGCTGCCAGCTGAAGGCCCCTAGTCGGTGCGGACTGGGCCGGTACCGCTGGGGTCGCGCCCCTGGCACACGTTGCACCACGCACCGCGGACACCAGGCGCGGACGCTTGGCCGTCTTCACCGCGTGGTCGAGAGCCCTGTTAGAAGGCGCGCCTGATCGGCCAGCAGTGAGCAAACCGACCGTAGCGCCGCAGGGATGTGTGTGGCTGGACTGGGGACGAGTGCGCCAATGCGGAATGCAAATACATGGCCTTCGTGCCGAGCATGCTGCCGAGGGTAGGCAGCAACGACATGCATATTTTTACACGCGGACATAGCTGTGCACGGTCATGTCACAAATGCCCCCGAGGCAGGTGCATCAACACAAACACCAGTGCATGACAAGTCTCAGGGGGTCATTGTATATGTCGACGGCGTTAGCTCGGTCAATATATGCAATCAACTATGCTGATCATAATTCCATTGTGCATTGAATGCACTGTTGATCATGCTTTGCGCGCGTTTCGTTGTCACAAGCTCGACCGTTGCGGGGCTGCTGCATCCGCCCTAGAAATTAACTAAATCTTAGCTATTCTGGCTGCTAAGGGGCCAAGAGCGAAAGCCAAGAGTCTCTCTGTTCTGAACGCTGGATACCCCGAATGACCTCCTCCTTTGCTTACCTTACTGCCACTAGCTATAAGTGGAGTATTTTGACGCCTACACCGATCAGCCATGCGGCATACAAATGACTTTCTTTTAGGATAGGCTGCACTTTGTTATACAACTTCAGGGTGGCTTGCAACTTGAGCATAACTTTTGGAGTAGTAAGAGCAAGTTTCAGATTTCAAGGTATCAATTAACACAAAATAGCAACATGCGCTTGTCGCATTTCGGAAGGGTTTGAATTCCAAGTGCAATGCACATTTTTTCTTTACTCCCAGTGAAGGATGAAGTGGATTTTTAAGCGATTCTTTATAGCTATCAAAACACAAACGACATATTGGTGGAAGCCTTCCTTTTTGGACTGGTGTGTGCTGTTGTTTACAGCAAAGTATCAGGTGTGATATGTATGCATTTAACTTAGCCTTGCATCGGCCAGCAATGTCACTCCAGTCATGATCCAGGTTCTTGTCATGTTACATCCTCGACGCATCAGTCAAGCAAGCGGAGCTTAGATGGGTCGCAGAGTTGCACTTTGTTGCAGTTGCACAACGTGCAAAACATGGCGGCATAAAATGTTTTACGACGCCTTTGGAAAATGTATAGTCATTCTCCTACCGCATACCGCATGATAAGTCCTAAGACGGACTACATATGTCATGGCATGTAACGTGGCGCTGCGACAAATATGAAACGATGCTGATGCTGGATGCTGATGATTTACGCCCCCGCGTCACGACCGGGGCGTAAATCCACAGATGAAAAATACTCGCAACGATTCGATGCTAAGGTGTAAGTGCTTTGCTGGATTCGAGTCCTCAGCCTCTGACTCTGACTGTATACAGTCTTGTCCAGAACTTCCTCGAGCCACGCGAAGTAATCTAACTCTGTATAGTCTTGGCCAGAGCTGCCCGTGCCACGCGGAGAAATCGGTGGCCGACTCCGCTGCCTGCTCGGCCGAGGGCCGAAAGCTGCCCAGGAGACACTGCAGGCCGAACTGTACAAACTGTGCGCTTGGAACACTGACCACCTCGGCTCCTCCAGGAGCCACCAGGGGACGTTGAGCTCACATCCCATACCCTTTCTGTAAAAACTGGGTATGGGCTGCACAGACAGAATGGGAAAGCATGCATTTACATGAGAGGATCATGGCTCATAAAGCTTGTCTGCGAGATCGGCTGTCTGTTCAGCGTCTGGTGCTCTGTTCAACGGCATCGAATCAATAGGTCGGTGTCCTGACCTCTTTTTCAAGCAAGGACAGAACAGACCCTTTTTCATCTGGATGACACACTTCATCTGCGTGACGCACAGAATTGGTCCGCTTGAATCAAATACATTTTATAAGCATCACTTTTACATTATGCGTCAGAGTACGCCGTCCACTTCACTCAGAGGCGGGTCAGAGGCGGTCGTAGGAACAGGATTCGCGAATTTGCTTGCGACGAATTGCATCATTGTCCTTCTATTACTGTGGACAGAAGCTCTCAGACTCGCATGGGTAAAACACAATTACGTGTATTACGTGAAGCAGGGCTGGTCACCTTTTGGTTACGTAAAAAGCATGCAAACAGTCGGGGGTGGTTCCTAGAGCTATCTGCATGAGCTCGGTAACATAAATTGTTATTTGAGTTAAGATACGCTTCTTTTGAAACCACAAGGTTCCTACTAGTATGGATACATGAACAAAAGCGCAGGCAGGTGGTACGTGGTGCCACTATTTTGCTTCCTGGACGCTTGCAGCTAATTCAGTGAGTAACATATCTGACGGCCTGTACAAAATTTCGACGTCCCGTTTCATATTTCTAACGCGACTTAAGAGGAGCCAGGTAAACTACGAATAAGTCAGAAACTTGATACCTTGGAACTGAGTGAGATACATCGGCATTCATTGTTCTTACTAGGTATATTGGGAGATTACCGAGCTGGCTCCATTATTTTATATTGTCATGTACTCCCCATCCAGAACAATAGCGTGAGCCATCAATCAATTAACAATATGAAATTTATGGAAGAAGAAGGTGCACGCATTGTTGGCCATGCTACATTTTCGGTGGGGCAATCAGTCCTGTGAGACCGCCTGGGTTCGAAATAGCCCCCACGTAGAATCAAGGCCAAGTTCACCGTACACCGGGGATGCAGGCGTTATGCCTATTGCTAAGATGGACCTTTATGATATTGATGAAGGGGAACATATGTGATTTCCTGTAACATTTAAACCAAGCAAGTGTCGCGCAACAGTCCCGTCTGCACCTGGGCAATAAGCCGCAGTCAGATTGCCAGCAACGTTAGGCGCTGCTCGAGACCACGTTAAGCCGTGGTTGAAGGGATCATGACGCCAACAACATTATGTATCAATGACGGCCAAACACCTCTAAGGTCATTTCGAACTGGGTGTTCTACTTGCGGGTGTGAACGATGCGATCGCTTGCGGGTAATTTGCGTCAGCCTACCATCTAGCGTATGTGCTCCGTGGCGGCCCGCAAAAGAGACGCCTCCGTACCATGTTGAAGGCTTCCACAGCCTTGGAATTGAGAGACGAGTTTTTTATGTCAGTGATATAATCACCACGCAATTTTAAAGTTTGCCGCCGATGAACCTCGCCAGTCTGGAAGTATTTGTGCTACGTGACATAAGCTCGGTTAATATGCGCAGTACGGTCACTGCAGGGAAGGATCTGGTCCAATCCGCAGCACCGTTATGGCATGAATGCTGCGCCTAAATGCGGATAGGGAGTGTCGTCATACAGTGCCCACAGGAAGGCGTACGTCCATGGAGGGTGGGTGTTTGTTAATACGAAGCTTGCGATAGCTATTTTCTATGAAGGGCTTGGTTTTTCTCCCGAAACAGCGGCTCAGATCAGAACAGCTTCCCCTGAAAAACATGCATATCACCAACTTAAGTAAAACAAAATCACAATGGGAAAGTCTGCCTCATACAATACCCAACCACCGGCTGCCAAAAATTTGTGGAAGCTGAGATTCATGCACATAACTATACATCTAGCAGATTAAGATAACAATACTGAAATCTGCGTGCTGGACTTCGTGCTTCCCGTCTTCTATTGCACTGGTTTCTCTGTTATTGCCGACCCTTTACATTTAAGTAAAAAAGCAGTCATTTCCTACCAATTAAATGAACAGTTTTCACGGTTTTCAGGCGACATTTTTGGCTTTGATTTCTCGGCCACAGGTGATTTTCCGGGGTCTTCCAAAGGGTCAAATTACGGGCATTTTTCCTTTAATACCCAAGGGATCGGGGTACATTTGGGTAAGTGAGATTTTGGTCCATTTTGCTAGCAAGGTTGAGGCAAGACTTGGAATCTATTATCAAATGCGTTGTTGTATTAGTTACGAAACGATCTCAAGCGCAGAGGCCATCTTAAGATCAAGGCATCTGTTTGGTTGCACACCTTCTTGATAAATTTTCGTGGGCTTTTCAATTTTCTCATTGGACAGGTCCCTTCAATGGCCTGATATCTCAACACTGCTCGCCGAAAGCTCACTGAGGAGCGGAGGGTGGTTTCTGCTGTATGTAGATCAGCATGTCT